CAGCATTTTTCTTCAGATGAAACGCGAAGTGGATGGAAAATCGAATATGCTCTTTTGTAATTGCCATCGTGAACACTACTGATTTTTGAGGTTATGTGCATCAAACGCCAAACCGTATCGCATTTCAGGAGGTTAAATGTTACTGTTTTAAAACCCCAAAAGGGCGGGAAGATATATAAAATTTAAATTGTTATTTCGGTTGTATCAAATCTAAAGCTCAGAACTTTTTTGTACACCTAATATTTTGTCTCATTTACGTTAAAATTCTTAATACATATTCTTATACATTCTTAATAACATTGGATAGATTTAATTCTTTATTATTATTGAACTTATTATTTTATTTAAAGCATAGTTGCAAATTATAGTCATTTGGATATATTAGACAACTTTGTTTTTGCTTTCAGAGGATAATGGATGTGGCAGAAATGTCGGCGTATTCATCATCCGATGAGGACCCGCCGAAATCCTTCGAGTTTATCGACGCAAAGAACAATAGTATCAACCTTGAATATAGTCCTCACTTCGGTGGTGACGTGAATCTCAATATGTCAGCGGTGCACGTACCCACGAATGTGTATGATCGCGCTTCGAATGTCATCCGAGCAATTAAGTGGTCCGAGGAACTCGATCGTATTTTCATCAGTAATTATGAGCATGATCCATCATTGTCCTGGCAATACTTCGGCAGCGCGACTGGTTTCATGCGTCAATACCCTGCCACGAATTGGTACATAGAGTCAGTGGATCTATTCGACTGCAGGACGAGGAGCTGGTACATTGAAGCGGCCACCAGTCCAAAGGATATTCTTATTCTGATGGACACGTCCGGTAGCATGACTGGTATACGACGAGAGATCGCTAAGCACGTTATAAATAATATCCTTGATACCCTTGGTAACAATGACTTTGTCAATATCATTACATTCTCTAACGAAACTAAAGAGGTAAGAATCGTTCGGCAAAATTAAATTTATCAACCTAAAATAACGAAAAAAAAATAAATTAATGAAATTAGTAGAATGATATTAATTGATATTTATTGATGAATTTGCAGGTAGTATCGTGCTTTGATGGCACCCTGGTCCAGGCAAATCTGGCAAACATACGCGAGCTGAAGAGAGCCATTTCGAATCTCAATACAGAGAGGATCGCCAACTTTTCTCTGGCTTTGACGACTGCTTTTGAGTTACTCGAAACATTCCGCAACGAGCGGGAAGGTGCAAGATGCAATCAGGCAATTATGTTAATCACCGACGGTGTACCATACAATTACAAGGATATTTTTGAGGCATACAACTGGAAGGATAATCCAGACGAGCCGTTGAAGGCCGATATGCCTGTTAGAGTATTTACCTATCTAATCGGTCGAGAGGTTGCAGATGTGCGGGAAGTGCAATGGATGGCTTGCGCCAATAGAGGGTACTATGTACATTTGTGTACGCCGGCGGAAGTCAGAGAAGAGGTCAGTGATTGAAATTGCTTTCAAGTTTGACAAATAAAAAAATCTCCAAATCTGACAAATAAAAAAAGTTTCTAAAGAATTAATATTTGATAAAAATAATTAGAAAAAAATTACTGTTAAAACTGAAATAGAAAGTAGTAATGCTAAATTTACAAATCATAGAAGTTTTAACATAGAAGATTATGGGCGAGAAGTCTCTTCAAGGTACTCGATGAGTAAACTAAATGAACGAATATGATGAATGAATAAACTAAAATTAACATAAAAATAATGATTGAATAAAACTGTTTTGTTGTAATATGAAAATCTACCTTGCTCTTCATCATAATGACTTGTATTAGATTTCAATACATTAAAACTTCGAGCTTTCGAAATAATATCAATAAGGAGAGTAAAATGTTGGGCGATTGAGAGTTCTCACTAATATATTAATTTATTTCCTATCAACTAATGTATTTGTAAGACTAATGTATTTGTAATGTATCTCAGAATATAGAATTTTATCATCACGCACGAAGTACCGCGTTAGTAAGTGCTCTCAATCGCTCGCTCTCCTTGATTGTATTAGATTTATTAATTTTTTTTAATTTGCTAGGTATTGAAGTATGTGCCGGTGATGGCGAGGCCCTTAGTGCTAGGTCGCGCGGTTCATCCTACTATCTGGACACCCGTTTATGCCGACGTGACTGATCCAAAAATGACCGATTGGTTGTGGGAGCAGCGCGAAAATGACGAACAGGAAAAGCGCTTCTTGCACTACCAAAGAAATAAGAAGTTTCTCAACTCAGAAGAACAGGATCGGCGATATGTGAGCAATCAGAAATGGCGGTATGATCAGTTCGATCAAACCGAAGAACTGCAGGAATACAAGCTAATGACCTCGGTCAGCATGCCAGTGTTTGATCGACGTGATAACGCGGTAAGATTTGTATTCGTTATTTTACAAATAACGTTTAAAATCGGCCGGCAAAAGGACAACAGTCGTACGTTCCGTACGTTGTCGATAAAGGACAGCCTAAAGGTTAATTAAGATCTCTTTGAAATAAAATGATAGTTCTCTTCAGCATTCATTATCAAATATCACTCACTTTTTTCTTTCTGTTGTCTGCGCTTTCATATGCCTTCACGCTCTTCGCAACATTTTTGTAAATTCTCTTAATATCTCAAATGGTGTAAATGTGATTTCTTCATTAATACCCAAAAATGTTAAACGAGACAAAAATCGCAAAATTCGCGAATCACGTTTCCTTGAGGTATATATTCACGCTGCACTTGCTTTGGTTTTAAGTTCCTCTTTGTCCACAGAACATCACAAGGCAGGTGCTGGTGAATGAAGCATACTGGGTGACTGAAACAAGAGAGGTTGGCAGTTAAACAAAAAAGTCAAGCAAAATTATTCTATGATGCATATAGTACATCCTGTATCTTTATCTTTCGTTTTCGTGCAATCGACGACCTACGACCTCATCTTCGCTATCAGTCTTAATTGTCGTTTTATGGACATTAATTTATTACTCATTAGATTCGTTAAACTTTGAAGAATATTTACTTTGAAAAAATATATTACTTAAACAACATTGTAATTATTTTAATTTTTTTGTCTCTATTAAGGAACGGAACATTTTAATCTATTAAAATCTTTAAGCTATTAAGTATATAAAAAATATAGTCGCGATGTAAATGGTGCTGGAACAAGGTCGTAGATGCACATAGATCTCTTTTAGGTCCACATTCGACTCTCTGGTACCTTATGTTGATCTCGAACGTTAGTTACTGGAATTATTTTAAATCATTAGGTAGGTTTAGGTACGTTAGTCTACCCTGTGTCCTGTCGAGACGAGTAGAAAAAAAGGCAAAGTTTTGCCCGCCTGTTGGATTGCGTTCGGCGAAAAATAATATCCTCGTAAAGATTGATTCGTAGAGATCGTTCTGCAGTGACTACTATATATCTACATAATGAAAGAGAGAAATATTAACTGAAGGAGCAAGCGAATGGATTTTCAAAAACAACTCTTATTAATAAAATTAAAATTGATTGTATTTTTAATAATTTTTTATAGAGAATTTTGAAATTAGATTTGTAAAAATGAAAATAATAATTTACTTTATATAATGATAATAATTACTTTTTCTAAGCACTTGCTCCTTTTATTACAAGTAACAGCAGGCACGCACGTACATGAATAATATGAATTTTGGCAATTTGAGTGCTAGATTTTGTTAGTCAGAAACATTCGTAGATTTAATTCAAGCGACGACCTCTCAAGATTATCTTAATTAATCTTACATACACGCATATACATATCTTGGGTATCTGAATTGAACAAAAAATTTGATTGCACAAGTTGCTTTAATCTGTATTATTTTTATAACATCATCAAATAAAATATAGAAGTAAAATATTCTTATATATATTAAATTGTTTTTTATTAAACGAGAAAAAGGAAAGAAAGGTCGTCACTTCGAAAGAACAAAGCTAATTGTTACTTAAACTAACACTTAGGGTAGCCTGCGTCAGATGTTGTTAATTAATTAATAGAGAGAATTTGTTGTTTAATTATTATAGAATTTTCATTGTGTATCGTTATTATTATTATTATTATTATTATTATCATTACACACACATACACGCACAGACACACGCACACGCACACACACGCACGCACGCACGCACACACACACGCACACGCATATATTAAAACAGTAGTTCAGCTAGTTATTGCGTCTAATCGCAAGAAATTTACACTCTTATTGCTCGTCCCTCTCGCGCGCATTTTTAAACATTCTCAAAACAAAAATACTTTAATTTTAATATTTACGTGACATTTTATAATTTAAACACATTTTTTTCAATCTACTTCTCATTCTACAATACAGATATTATTTTAATAAACATTTTATTCAGCAAAACTTTGCAATATTTCACTGTAAAATTTGCAATAACGACAATTAATTACCACGCTAACTCGAACAAGTTAAGTCTTACTTAATGTTCTTGTTCTTCAAAAATATTGTACACATATCATTATTTATACGTACTTTTCGCCATTGAAAATGATCAAAAGACCGTATTACTCATTATTGTATACACGCGAGGGGTGATCATTTCTCACACATATGGTTTTTTGATATATGAAAACGTGTTTATGTAGACGAACTCATTGTGATAGAACGTTGTTGGAGAAGGTAGATACGCTTCTGGTTATGCGACTTGAGATGATGATAATTCGTAATTTATTTCGACATAATAACGTTGTCATGATATAATAGAGGCGTCACGCAATGCGACATATAATGCAGGTTCTCTAATTAACGTATCAATAATTATCTGCGCAGACAATGATCGCCAATCTACTCGGTGTTGCCGGCACGGACGTACCAATCGACGAAATTGAGAAATATATGATTCCACATATGGTAAGCAATTTTTTTTATATTGCTATTTACATATTTTTATTTTACAAAAGTGACCAATTTTTTATCATTATCAATTATAAATAATAATTAAATTATAGATGAGAGTATATCAGTTCAGGATACTTTATCACCTAAAATATAATATCTACACAATAAAAATCTATAATATTGGCAATTAATTATAAAAATAAAACAAGAGTTAATTTAAATTAATTAAAATCAAAAATACTAGTAATGCCAAAATTAAAATTAACTAGTATTTATCAGCATTTTGATTATTTCTCTCACTTTTAAAAATTAAATATCTCTTTGGACATTGAATATGACGACTCTATTAAGAAGAGTGACATGAAAATGCTATTAATATCCATTAGCTTTTATGATGCACACAGTACATCAATTGACAGCATAGCAAATGTTAATCATGATAATATAATCTTCTTTTTCTCTTTATCTTCGTGGGAGCAGCTCGGCGTCAACGGTTACGCTTTCATTGTGACCAACAATGGTTTCATCCTGATTCATCCTGATCTTCGACCAGTGGTAATTTGACTTTTTAAATTATATTATCGTATTTAACTTTTTTTGCACGCGCACACTTGTGTCTCGATTTGATGTTTATGTTACGTGAAATTGCAAAATCTTTACTATTAGGTGTACAATTAATTCTCGGCCCATATCTTTCAGCGATCTCAGAATTTTATTTAAGTTGAACTTTCTCCGCCCCCTTTATTTTAAAGTGCCATCTTTTAGCTTTAAAATGAGTATTGCTTTACAATACTTGATCTTCCTGTGAACATAACTTGAAATATCAGTAGTAAACACGATGTCATTCGAAAAGCAACATTTGAGGCACTGTCTTCTTTTCGCGTTTCAACTTAAAAAAAAACGCTACTGAGGCGAAAGAAATGATTTCTTTGACTTTGAATGAGAATGCTGTATCGTACAGTACGTGTAAAAAATGGTTCCAACAGTTTCGAGAGGGAAATTTCCTTGAGGATCGTGAACGCCCTGGTCAACCAAAAAAAGTGGAAGATGAGGAGTTGGAGAACATTTTGGACGAGAATTCTTGCCAAACCCTATCGAAACTTGCAAATGTGCTTGGAGTAACACAGCAAGACGTTTTCTATCACCTAAAACAACTGAGGAGGATTCGCAAGGAATGTCGATGGGCCCTCATAAGCTCACTCCCGAAAACAAAAGACGCGATACTGCACTCTCATTGCTTTCTAGATTCAAGAAAAAGGACTTTTTGCACAAAATTGTTACTTGCGATGAAAAGTGGATGTTATATGATAATCCTAAGAGGCGAAAATCATGGATCCATCTAGGTGAGCTGTCAACGAGCATCGCAAAACTGAACATCCATACAAAAAAAGGTGTTGCTATGCATTTAATGGGATTAGAAGGGCGTGATCCACTATGAGTTGCTTCGACAAGGTCAGACCGTGACTGCTGAGCTTTATCAACAGCAATTAATTCGTGTAAATGACGGTCTTGAAAAAAAAAAAGATTATTTACTGACAGTGGAAGAAGAAAGGTGATACTGCTGCAGGATAATGCTCGGCCCCATACAGCAAAAAACACTCTGGAAACTATCTCCGATTTAGACTGGGAAATTCTCCCTCATGTGGAGTTCTCCAGACTTAGCCTCTTCGGATTATCACTTATTTCGAGTCCTACAATATTACTTAATTTTTCGATTCAACTCAGTTGAAGAGGTCGAAAAAAGCCTCGATGAATTCATTAATTCAAAACCACCATCATTTTTCTGATCTGAAATCCGGCAATTGCCTGAGAGATGGAAAAAATGTATAAACAGCGAGCGAGATTACTTTGAAGATTGAATTTGTATTCATATTTTTATAAATGTCAAAGTTGGTAAAAAAAAGGCCGAGAATTAATTTGAACCTAATATTTTATTAGCGACATTAAGTTTTTGGTGTAACAAGATAAAAATAAATATAAGTAGAAAAAATAATATGTATTATAAAAATAGTTTCAGGGTATCTTAAAGCCGGCATATAATAGCGTCGATATGGCGGAAGTTGAACTAATGGATCACGATATGGGCCCCAGAGAATTTGACGAAGGAATCATTATGGTAAATAAATAAAAAAAAAAACAATAAAGTTTTTTTTTTCATAAACTTTGGCAGATTTAGAACAAATAAAAAATAATTTCTATAAAAGTCCGCAAAAAATGAAATAAAAATCGTAGAACATCAATGACACGCTCCTGAAATTTTGAGTACTATCGTTAAATGTTACATATACATGTGACAAATAATTATGTATGAGTTTATTGTATTTTTTCGCAGCTTCGCAACAATGTGGTGAATCAGATGAATGGTAGCGCGACGCTTTATACAAAATATCATTATGATAACATGGTGAGTATACTGTCATGATATTTTTCTAAGATTCTCAGTATTATTCGGAGAGAAACAATATCAAAATAATAAATGATAATCTAATATTTTTAAGGGTTGTATTTTTTATATTTTATCACTCGCTCGCTTTAGAAAGGATTTTGATCTAAATCCAACATGTTTTTTAATGTTCCCGTAGAAACAAATATCTTTTCTAAAAAAAAAATAAGAATTCTTTAATAATCTATAACAATAATTAATTGGTAGAAACAATAGTCTTTTATAAAATGATCTCATACTACTTCAATTAATTGTTTATAATATTGTTTATTGCTTTAGAAACGTGTCGGCAGAGTAAAGAGAAAATACGATTACGCGGGAATAATGGACACTCCATTTACGGTAGTAGTCAGTTTGCCTGAACACGATCATACTGGAAATTATCGCGTGCACGCTACCGAGGAGATACATCGATCTCACGCTAAAGGTACACATTTCATTCTAGCGAACTATCTTACAGCGACGAAAGCTTCCAATAACACAATATTATTAGATTATTTGCATTTATATTGAGTCTTCTTAATAACATACTACATTTTCTATTTTTAAAATGCCAATAGTTGTCCGAAAGTATTTTACGCAGAATATTGAGTATTGTTATTTGAACTTATTACTGTAAATTATCTATTTAAACGTACTTTGAGAAATTAATTGATTTATTAAAAATGCCAATGAATTGATAATAAAATTCGAGATTCCTAAGACTCGACACTACTCAAGTAGAAGATGACATGGTTGGACAAGTCAAATAGATGCCGAAGAAATTTGGCGATTCAATGATGTGATTATGAAAACCTTCGCGAAAATGCATGAAGCATACATTTTTCTTTTGAATGTAATCCCGTTTTATGGGATTACATTCGAAGTATAGGCATATGACAGTTTGCAAGCTGCAAAGTTTTGCTATAAAGTTCCCACTTGGTACGCAATTTGGAGTCGCAAAGATTTTCGCAAACAAGTTTTATATTACATCGATTATGAAATTCACATTGAATTCACATCGATAAATGCTTTGTATAAATCTAAAGTTCCCGATAAGAAAGTTTGCTTGCCCTAAACAAAGCCCTAAACATCTCATAACTACATTAACACTGTAAATTCTAGGAAAGATCTGCGATCCTTATATTTCGCTAGTTTGGTTTTCGCAGTCATAAATAATATTTTTTTACTCATAAAAGAGTGAGAGTAGTTAAAAAATTTTGTTTATCGCTTTATGAAATTATTAGCTTATTAAGATGATAACAATTTCAATTTCTGCTTCGGACGTTAAACCGAACTATTATTTTTTCTTTTTAACTTATCGAGGCTTTCGTCGCTGACCTTGATCACTTATGTCAAATTTGAACGATTTGAACTATTGTAGGGAAAAACGTGACAGATTATTTCGCGGGTAGTAACTGGCGGGTGCATCCCCATTGGCTATATTGCAAGTAAGTCTCGAATGAGTTTTTAAAATAATTATGATTAATGTAAAATTTGTTCTTTTTAGCTATATTAAAATGAAATTTATATTCAGTGAAGAAAAGTAGGCTAATAAACTAAAGAAAAGCGACAATCTTATGGATCTATTTCATTACTTACACAAACTCTTCTTGTTGTAAATGTTAGGTATCATTACGAGGGTGAACATAGGTTCAATTCCTCGGAATCACAGCTCCTACATTTTCTGGAGCGTACCCGCCTACCAGGCTGGAAGTGGATCGACATGAAGCAACGATCCAAACCGCCAGAACACTCCGCTACGAGTTCCAATCACAGCTCTAATCGTAAGTCATCTCTTACTGTATGCAGTTTCTTGTTATACATATTTATTGTTTATCTTTAGCATTGCTTTAATAAAAATGTTTCTAACAATACTAAAATTAATAGCATTTAAATTTTTTGTGTGACAGCTAAGCCCTACAAGGCCGAGAACAAGAATTCATACTTTTGTGACAGGAATCTACTGCTCAGTCTAGTATACGATGCTAAGGTAACCGAGTGGTTTGCCCAGCAAATCCCACCAAATCCCAGCACCAAGGAATCAGGGTGAGCATAATTTCGATTTATTAGATAAGAGTGCTTTACATAGCATGACTAGATTACTTGGAAAAACAATGAACGAATTTTCCTTTTCCCTATTATTCGCATAAACTAGCACGCGATTAATCGATCAAATAACAAAATTCTAATACAACTACTCGCATTTTGTAATATTTTATATTGTTCTTATATAGATATAACCCCGTAATTAACGATAATATTACTCTTGCATTAAAATTAACATTATTTTATCACTACTTGATAATTGATTTATAAAGAAGCTATCGATCAGAAATTATAATAAAAATTGAATAGATTTAAATTCTGAATTTATAACAAATACTTAATATTAAGCAGTAGCCTGATTATTGATAATCTATCACAAATAGATGCAAATTTTTGTAAAGATAAAATATAAAAAATGAATTATAACGTAAAATAAATAAAGCTGGAACGATTAATCGCTACTCAACACATCTTTAGGACGGAGACATCGCTCTTTCTCTACCATTATTTCCTTGTCAAAGTTAAAACTTACACGTGCTCATTTTGAAACACTCCGTCCCGTGTTTTTATTTTAGTTCTCTATTTTATGCACAGTTCTTTCTTTTCAATTTCTCTGTTTCTATGAGGATAGAAAATTCACCTATTCCTTTTGACTAATGTCTTACCACTTTGACGCCATGCAGACCTTTAGCTAGGCTGATGAATCAGATGACCAGGTAACGCCATCACAACGCACCTTACATTCTTAGAAAGTAACGAATTAACTTTCAACCGTTCGAATCGTACATTATAATGTAAATGTCGGTTCTCCCTATCTTTCTCTTCTCTTAACTCTATTTTTTCCTCTCTTGTTTTTTCATAGAACTTTGTTTTATTTCTCATTAGGGAACTGTATTTATTATCTTCT